CTTAAAGCACTTGTTGCAGGCTGCTGAGTTTGCATCTTTTGCTGTGAAGTACAGCCAGACTTTTGACCGCTTCGCCTTGGGCATTTTTTATCTGTCGCTCGGCTCTAAAAGAACGTACGTACCTGGGCCTGCCTACTACGCTTGCAAAGGTAAAATGATTGGCTAGAATCCAAAGTGTATGACATTTCAGGAAAAAATAAAGCACCGAAATGTGCGCTGCTTTTCGGTCTGATTACTACTGTGTACCCATCCCTACTGCCAGTACAGTAAAAGTATGCATGGATATATATATATAAAAAAAACTGTTGAATATTATCAGTCATGGATTGGCCTCCCCAGTGAAGCTGTCATGGTTGGCTGTGTGGCAGGCAGGCAAGCAGGAGTGGTGGATCCAAAATGCAGGACTCAGACACAGAAGTACAACTTAAAGCGCAGCTTTATTGCTGGGAAAACCTCTTACTAAACTAAATCCACCAAAAGACAAACAAAAAACGCTGGTGGACTAAAACACTGTAGCAGAAATACTGAACTGTAGCTGGAGCCGAAACACAGCAGCAAACCACACAGCTTATTGAGGGTACAACACGACACTGACTCAGAGAAACACAGGGTTTAAATACACTGGGAAGTAACGAGGGGAATGAGACACAGAAGGAGAGCACAGCTGGGGGAAATCAGAACTGACGAGACAAGGAAGCGTAAAGTGAACGCATTCACATGAGACACGGACCTTCAAAGTAATACAGGAAGTATGACACAGAGACGCGAACTTGACACGGTGGAGACAGCAACTAAGAACCACAGAGACATAACCAGTAAGGCAGAGGACTCGATGACCCAAAAGACACAGAGGGAAACTCAAACATGCAGACACAGACTTACACAGAACAGAGGGGACACAGAGAGACATAAAGGGCAAGGGATCAAAACTAGAAACCATAGAATAAATCACACACAAGTACAATAATACAAAAATCACAAAGAACTGAAAACGCTGGGTCAGGAGACCCAGGACCCTGACAAGCAGTTTGAGATCATGTTGAGAGAGGACGTAACAAAAGGCAGTGAACATTAAAAGAGGAGTTCTGTTGAGCTCCTCAGAACTTCACAAACTGCATTTCCATTTACGTTAGCAGATATTTCAATAACTTACCTCACGTATTTCCTATTTTCCTAGCAAAATAACAAAGAAATAAAGGGTTACTCAAGACTTTTGCACATTACTGCACATGAATGCGACAGTGGGAAGGAAAAACTCCCTTTCAACAGGAAGACGTCTCCATCAGAACCACGTTCAGGGATGAGTGCCATCTGCTGCGACTGGTTGGACGGTGAAGGGAGAGAGAAGAGAAAAGAAAAAGGAAAGCACAGAGAGACAGGAGAAAAGCACAAACAACTGGAGAGAAAAGACAACATTTGACACGCTGCAGTGGTATGCGAACACCTGGACAGTCAAAAGAGGTGAGTGGACAAGACATGCTTGTCGTATCGCCGTATAACACCTCAAGTTCTGCAGCAGTCTGACCCTGTTGCTCGCAGGATCATCGCCAAGGGATGATTCAGGGTCACCTGATCTAGCCCTAACTACAAGCTTTTTCAACTGGTAGGTATATGTGTCATCATAGATAAAAAGAAGCCCTCCAAAATAAAATGCTGGCTTTTTACATTTATATATAGTCTCTTCCTCTATAGCCATTTAGCTCTCTCCCCTTTCCCCAATATTTATGCTTACCTAAACCAGCCAGTTTATGGCTGCTTCATTCACCAAACGACAAACTATTTTTTAATAAACATATATATGTTTTAGGGCTGGATGGCTCATCTGCCACATCTGCCTTCAAAGGCTTTTTCCTTTAATATTTGTTAGTTTTTAAAAATGAATTTACAGTTTTTAAAAAAACAAACAAACTTATTTATCACCTAAGGTTTTACTTTTTATTTTGATTAGTATTGATTATACGAACAAAGCGATTAATATAATTTGTATTAAATCCTCAACACACCAAGGTGACTTAGAAAGATTCTGATTCTGGTAATTTGCAGTGATGAACAGTGTACTGCACATAAATGACAACATGCTAATAATAATAATAATAATAATAATGATAATAATAATAATAAAGAAAAGTTTAATTCAATGCAAAATAAGGTGCATACTGTTTTTAAGTAATTCAAACACAAATAACCACGCTGAGCAAGAAGTTAACGGATCCAAACAAGGGTTTCCTTTAATGATCATTTGTCTTGTAAAGAATATAATACAGGGACAGGACTGGAATTCATAAGAACATACATCAATAAATATGGATAAATACTTGTGGACCACATTCACACAGCTGTAGATGAGCCCAGCGTCAGCGATATTGTGTCTGTGCTCACAGTCGACACGAACACACACAGACTGAAGTGTTGTGCAGGGAACAGAGCCAAAGAAGTGATGTTTGTCAGTTTGGCAAACTATTACTTTGCTTCCATCTCTCCTGTTGACCGAGCGCCTCTTGTTTTTCTGTTGCAGCGGTATAAACCAGCAGCGTGTGAGCTGACGAGAGGAACAGAAAGCAGGCGATGGGTTTTTCATCCACAGAGGCTGTGTGAATATGGCCCAGAGAGGCTAAACAACAAACACACCCAGAGTTTAAATGGATTGTTCTAACAAAAAACTTTGAGTATTTATATCACAGAGGAGAAAAGGGAGCATTTTCACTGCTTCCTGCTTTGCGTTTGTCATAATCCCACTGTAACATATCTTCATTCATCCATCCATCCCAACCATTTTCTTTACAGTGATAAATTGTCTCAACTCAGCATCAGACAGAGCTGCGATGTTATACAAATACCAGCAGTGTGGTTTCCACTATGTTAGATAAGTGATGCAGCAGTCCTCAGGAGGGAGGCGAAAGTTTAAAAAAAATCCTCATGAGATAGTTATGAGATTGAGATGGGGAGTTATGAGAGTAGTAGTATGCATATGGGACAGGATACTACCTGGAGTGTCTTATGGACACATAGGAGTGCTATAAGCTACACCAGTCTGTTTTCCTGTCATTTAAAAAACGCTCAGCAGTCAGTCAATGCAATTGTACCGCCGATGCCATCGACGGACTTAATAAGAACCCAGGACAGACAGCCTAATCACGAAATCAATAGTCTGTCTGCGTGTGATTGAGGAAGGACAACAGCCTCTAATGCTCTTATCAGGCTGTCATGACTGATGAGTGTCCTGTTCAAATGCATCAGGTCCAGAGAACAGAAAGATGTTACAATACATGGGGGAAAGAAGTTCTTGGTTTCCTTCATCCCCACAAACATACGCTCTTTGCCATTGCAAACAGGCGGTAGACTTGACTTTGACCTCTGGCTGCTCCAGTCTGCAGGTCAGGGTGTCCTAGTCGTAGTCTCGCTAGTGTGTGAGTGCAGATGTGTGAATGCTTTATGTATGGAATAAGCACTTTATAAATGTGTGTTTGAATGGGTGAAAGCAGCCTGTTGCACAAAGCGCTTTAAATGAAAATCGCTGCAATATGATTAATGGCTCTGATCATTCCTCAGAAAATTCATTTATAACACTAATAGGCATCACAGTACTATTAGGCATTTAACTGATCAATCCTCGAGGTATGTGCAAAGTGACTGATACTTTCCATTTACACTATGAGTTGCCCAATTTTACAGATGTTAAACTCTTAAACAGCTGTTTTTGTTTTCTCGACTATAACAGAACTACGATGGCGCTGGTTTTGTAGCGCTTGAAGCGCCTTGAAAAACTAAGCTTCAATGTCTTTTCCTCAGAAATATTTTTTCTATAATCAAGATAGCCTTGCCAGCAGTATCACTTTGCAAAAGGAAGCACGCATATATCTGTGACAAGAGGTTGTGCCCATGACACTGTGACAGGATGTAAACATTAATGATCCTTCAGCTGAATACTAATGCAGCTTCCTTTAATTTAGAGGTATAGTTTGGCAGACAAACTGATACAGGATGTGTTTCTTTTAAATAATTAACAGGTGGTGACTTCTGCAAAGAAAATACATTGCTGCCATGTTTTTCAAATGCATAGTTTGTCATTACAAGTTCCATTTAATTCTAGAGAGAGAAGGCAGCCATCTCTCAGTTGCAGATAACTACAGAACTGGGTAAGTCAGACCATATGCAATCTGAGAAGGATAGTGGAAAAACATGTATATTTGATAATGGGGTGAACTATGCCTTCAAGTCGTCATCCTAGAAAGATTTTCTCTTGTAACGTTGTTTTATTATCTGCAATTTCATGCTGGGATATTAGATTTTTTTTCCTCTACGTACACTGGAAATTACATTGGTGTTTATGAAGGCTGCTGCACCCGCCTCGGTCACACTCTTCCAACTAGGCACGTGCTTCATCAAAAACATGTACAACAAATTTAACCGAGCTGCGCTCCCGCTGTCAACATTCAGACAGAGGGCAATCAGACAGTCACAGCTACAAGCACAAGAAGATGCCACTGCACTCCCATCAATCCAATTCTTATCTCATGTATGCGGAACTCAGTAAGTGGGTAACAATTACGATAGGTGGCTAAGCCTGAGAAGAGGCCTTCTGGCTGCGAAGACGTTCAGCGTTTTGCCCGCTGCTTTCCCCCCCGAGGCGTGGTGCTGAGCCAAGAGACAGCTGGCAGAGACCGCTGTTAACTCATTCATCTTCATAATTAACACTCACAATTATAAGAGTTTGTCGCTTTCTGTTTGCCTGCCCTCGGGGCTCTGACTAGAAAGCCCGACGAGGGAAGAGGAGAGGAGTGTGGGTGGAGGAGATTAAAAGGAGGAGTCAAAAGCAAAGAGAGACAGACACTGTTTGAAATTTCAAGAGGGAAAGTGTGGCTGTTTGAATTCATTGAAAGATTTTTTTTTCTCCTCTCTGCCGGTGAGAAAGGTTAACCACCTTTAAAAGACCAGCTCAGTCCCAGCGGATGTGCAAAAGCTAAATTGTTCATTACCCTCAGTCCAGAGGGCGAAGCTCTGCGTTAAATTCAAACGGATCTTTTATGTGCTGTCTATTATACTTCTGACTTATCTCTTTTTTAAAATAAAAAATGGAACATTATCAGTAGAAATTCCACACATATCAACCTATCAACTCATGTGGGATAGAAGATTTAAATATATTTTCTGCATCTTGTTTGGAAGGCCTAAAAATCTCTGCAGAGGCAATGAAAAATTGACAGTCGTCAGACTCTCCTTAAACCCAAATGTCTAGTCTTATTAACCACTAGAAGCTGGCTTGTATTCATTTCCTTATCACTTTATCGCATTAAAATTTAGTCCTGTCACACAGCTCAACCTTTACGCAGCTGTAATTAAACCGTCCCTGTGTGTCAACTCTGATTTGAATTAGGTCTTCGGTCTGCCCTTTTATTCATCCGCTTTCTTTTATCAGTCTATTTTACAGGAAAGACAGAAAAAAAGAAGTTTGTCTCAGTCTGACATCATCGAGTGACAGCTGTTTGACAGCTATGACAGTTCTTTGGGCTTCCTGTCTGTCACTCTTTACTTTCCATTCGCTGTCCGTCAGCAAAACCTTCCCCTTGTCATGGCTGCTCTGGGGTTCTGCAGATAATGCAACTTGTTAATTAGGCATGCAGCAGATTAATTAAACTGATACAGGGATCTACGATCACTATTCTTCTCCATGTGGAGGAGCGTTGTCATTGCCAAGGTGAGGGGAGATAAACAAAGGCGGGGGGGATTTATGTGCGCAGGATAGATTTTCTTACCTCAAGTGACTTTATATAACCCGATCCTGGTTTAGTGTTTTCATAAGATGCGCGAGAGGCTGCTGAAAACCCTGAGTCTACGCTTTCTCCACTAAAAAACAAGTTAAACTGAATTTAGGTGTGCTTATTGTCCACTTCCCGACAAAGATGAAAGGTACTAAAGTGTATAGGTGGTGATCATAAAAGTATAACGAGATAGAGAAACGAGGGATAAAAGTGCTGGGGTGTAATCCCAGAAGCTCTAACCCCAAGTGCTGGCTTTAAAAAACAGCAATTTAACCTGGCAGTAAAGGGGAAGAAAAAGGGAGCAAAGTGCTTGTTCTATCCATCTCAATCCCCTCTTTAAAAGAGGAGACACGACAGGGGCGAGCTCAGGTGTGAACAGCTGCGAGACTCCAGAAATGGCAAGCCTTAATCTCTGCTGATCCTTTATATCGTCATCCACTGGGACCTCAGCCATTGTCGGCGTCTTCAGCCATAACGCACACATGCGGCATCCACATAGACAGACACGAGACGAGCAAGAGCTTGTTGTCTCCGTCTCCTCTGCATCATATTCATCCTCATACTCTGCACAAAGCTCTGATTCATGATGCAACAATCTCAGCTTGTTGTCGTGCTTGTTTCCCACTACTTGCTCAATTCTTCCTGCTTCAGAGGGCTGGTTAAGGCTGAAGACTACACTACAAAAATGTACATCTTCAGTCCTTTAATCTTTAAACCTTGTTCTGAATATCAGTGTTATGACAACCGATCAAATTATGATTTCAGTGACAAACACAGACAAAAATCACTAATATTTTCAGAGCATCTGAGAGATTGAATCTTTGTAGCCCCTAACTTTACTTTTTGGTTCAGTCTCATCAGCACTCTTTCCACAAGCAGCAACTGGCTGTTTTCAGTAAAATAATAATAATTTTTTTTTTTAAAAACCTAATGAAATGATACAAATCTAGCAGGCAGCTAGCTAACTTTTAACTACTCACTGCTAATAATGCCCTACAAAGGCTGGATGTTTAAAAATTGAGACAAACAAATCCCGAACTGTTAGCCATGAAAAGGTTGTGGCACAGTGGTTACACTGTTGTCTCACTGCAATATGGCTCTTGATTTGAACCTCATGGTGAGCGTGGGTGTCTACGTGCAGTTTGGAAGTTCTCCCTGTGCCTCTGAGGATTTTCCAAACTGGTGTGGATGTGAGAGGGTGTGGTTGTCTGTGTCTCTGTGTTAGCCCTTTGATGGGACATGTGCTCGGAGTACCCTGGCTCTACCCATATAACACCTGGGATAAGCTTATTTCCAGTTTATCTCTGTCTTGTCAAACCAAAGTTACTTTGAAGATGGCAACTGAGTGCAAATGGTCACGGGCCAGATTTCAGTCTTCGAAACAACTGTTTTAAAGGCAGCGAGGTTGCAAGTTAATTGTAAACTGTCCCAATAATTTTGTTGTCCCTGTTTTCCCTAGTGTGACTGTAGCATAAGCTGGACAAACAGATAAAAAAAGTGGATGCTTTTAAAACATATGTTTTAAACTACCTGGGAGTGAAGATTTAAGTTTGTTTCTATAGCAACATTTCCCCCTGTATTAATGGCCAAATCAGCGTTTTACTTTTCTTGACCTGTTGTCCTGATGAAAGAAAGTCCTGTGTTTTTGTGATATATAAAAGTGTGATCTCACTGCCATGTTTGCTAATCATTTGCACGTCTACATAAAATTAATTGCAAAATTGAACAATAGGACAATATCACTCAGAGAGGGACTGAATAATACTTATGCACCTAGCTAATGCAGTCCTTGGTCTGACACACCCCAATATGAATGTACCCATACTTTTGTTGAATACACAATGCAGCAAAAACAGCAGTAAACCTTCAAAATAAAGGCGAAGCAGATACGTGATAGGCTCTTCACCCTGCTGCATCACCTTGATTAATTCACAACACACAATCCCACAGCAGCTCAAATTGTGAAAAAAGACAAAGCAAATGCGGGACTGCTGAGCTGAGTTGAGACAAGCTGACATCAAACGTTCAGATTCCCCCTCTACAATGACAGGTGTGGATGTATGACGCAGCAGGAGGTGTTTGATATTGTTCAACACTTCTGAAAAGTGACTGATGTGTGATGTGATGTGCTGAAACTGCAATGGGAAGGGATGCGATTTCCATTTTCCTCTGGGGTCAAGCATCTGATCTAAAGTAATGGTCTCACACTGACAAGAAGATACAACGCTAACAATTAAAATAATTCAACTACAACTGCTTCTGAATGAAAGAAAATCAATTAAATCTGTTTCGGAACAACTCAGCGTCGCTTTAAGTCAAGTACAATGCCTTACAAAGAGCGAACCAAAAGCAGCAGAGTCAAGAAATAAACACTGAGTATTTGTAAAAAATAACTATGTGTTCAACAGACAAAAGGCTCAAGTCAACAACACAATGTCTTCCTTGACTCGTCTGATTTTGATACAGCAAATTCAATGATGTAATCCCTATTTAGGAACTTCTCTCTGAAGAATGTTCAGTGTGGCTCTCAAAGATTTTTTTTTTTTAAAAACAGGTCAGCGTAGCCCCATGTTTCAGGTCATCGTTGAGCTCGAGGGGAGAGTAAGTGGGTCAAGAAAGAAGGTAGGTAAGAGACAGCAAGGGTATGACCAGAACGTCGGACCGAGAAAGGAAAGTAAAAAGAGTACAAAGGGATTTATTATTGTCCTGTTGATGCAGTTGACTATGATACAGGCTGACTTGGAGAGCTAAGGGCAGGACAATGCAGTGCGGGACAAGGCCGGAGGGAGGCGGCTTGGTCAGAGAGTTTTGGGCTGTTATTGTGAAGAACTGTTTGGGGAAATGGGGACGACAGGGAGACAGGCAAACTGCAGCTGGCAGCAGAGGAGAAAAAGGGGGGGGGATGATGGTTTTTTTGGTTCAGAAGCGGGCGTGGTTGTGACCCTGGCCTCCCTCTCTGCCGTGGTGGCCTCCCTCTCTGTGGCTGTGCCTCTTGTGCTTTCTGCGCTCTCTCCTGGTCTTGTGGTGGTGGCGCCGGTAACGGTGAGCTCGCCGGGCTGGAGGAACAACCAAAGTGGAAGAGAGAAGTAATTCAGTATGTAATGAGATGAAAGTGAAGGGTAGAAAAGTGATGCAAGCGGGAGATGAATCACTGGCAAGCATCAGAAGTTTTTGAAACCAGGTAAGATGCGAGAGAACGGATCAAAACGCAGGAAGGTCAAAATGCGCAGATGGTTTAACTGTTTCCACCACACTGAGGGAATCTGTTTTATCTCTCATTGAGTAGACTGGGCGCCTTTAGCAAGGGCACAATGAGCTAGCCACCCACTCACTGCCTCGGTATAAGCTTGTTCCTGGTGTGTACTGCCAAATTAGATTGCTCCATCCCTTTCTGGGTTTGCCAACAAAGAAATGTCGTCTGCAAGGAATGATAACAACATCATAACTCTGGGCCATAAAAACAACTCTGTCCAAAGATAAAGAGTCATAAGCAAAGGAATCTTTATCGCTTTGAACAGAAGTTACATTATTTCAGTATTTCATCATTACTGTCACACTGTGAGCAAAGTGAAGTGAAATACAAGGCTCAGTTTGTTGAATATTCCATATAGATCAACCGGCCTATGAGGAAGAGAAAATTATGGTGAAAAGTTATGACATCAAATCGGTATATTCTGTCGCAGTTAGTGTGAGCAGTTTAAAAATTGATAAAAGTAAAGTTTATTTTAAAGAAGATAAGGTATTCAGTGAAAGAAACTGATTTTCTGTGCTGTTTTAGAAATACCCGGCAGCAAGTGCAATATCACCACAATGTCATCACTATCACCATCTGTGCAGGATTATTTTGTGCAGATGTTTTACATGTGCAAAACAACAGTACTGTGGAAAAGTTTTGAGCCACTTGAGCCGTTTTAAAGTTGTAGCTGTAATTTTCAGCGCTTAATGAACGTCTACCAAAGATTTTCTTTAGATATTGACTGTATTTTCTTTAATTTTCAGTATTGTCTTGTACTTGACCATTTTTAGAGGACTGTGCTTTTGTTTATCAAACCACTTAACACTGACCTATTAATCATTCAAGCAGAAAAAGACACTTAACTCAAGGGATGAATCGGTGATGTGTCTACACACAACACGCAACTTAACAAAGATCCAATTTTAAATGACAATTTCAGATACACTTTGTTACAAGCGGCATGTAACCTGTCCCTACTTTTTTAGTTTAATCTACATAAAATTCCAAAAATGAAAATTCAAGTTTTGTTGGATCAAAAAATTGACTTTCAAAGAGCTTTAGCTGGAAACCTGTCAGTATGTTCTTAAAAAGTTGAGGAAATTAAACAAGTGGAGTACAAAGAAAAACTCTCATGTCTAAAAATTGTGAAACAACAGTATATGAAGGCCAGGTCCTTAAGAAATAGGAAGAATCCAGCAAAGACCTGATACAGGACCTGAAAAATGCACCGTGCCGTTTAACTGATTCCTCTACTGTTTACTGAAGCATACAACATCCAAAAAGGAGCTTTAAATGTCCTTCAAGAATCCTGGAGAGTTATTACTATTTAAAGAAATTACAAGAAAGTTGGCTAATAGAGTTCAGGCTGTGTTGAGGAATAAAAGTGGTTACACCAAATATTGACTCAAACACATTAAAACTGCATAACCGCTATTTTTGCATCATATACTGCGTTTCCTGTATTTGTTTGCAGATATTTCAATAAATCACTGGACCTTTCTTTCTTTCTTGCACGTGCGCTGATTTACATGAAGCTTCAACCTGTTAGAATTAGTTTTGAAAAAGTCTACAAAGGAAAAGTGGAAAAAAAACTACCTCGAGTACAAAACACTTCAAAGGACACCCTGTGACTTCTAAGCAAGCCCAAGGGACTAAAAACTGCAATTATCAATAATGAGAGCGGGGATGGAAAGCCCGAGAATACACAAAGTGACAGCAGCTCCTGGGGGCTGTTGATGTTTGGGGTTCAGTCTTTTTTGGTGTGCATGCTAAAAATATTAATAATGATTAAAAAAAACAAAACAGAAATGTGAAAATGACCTAAAAAATTCTGTAAGTCTTGCTGTTTACCAAGCAGCCATATTCTCTTTGTTAACACTCACATTTTATGCAGATGATTTTAGGTCGGTCCCATTTGCCGTTAGCACGACACTTAGCAGTGGGCACGTGCCGCTGCAGGAAACCATCGGCGCACTGGTAACGCACTACTGAGTGGATGTCATAGTGGGTACGCTTCCGACCAATCAGGAAGGCATTATCCACAGTTGGAGGGGCCCCGCAAAGCACTATAGAGACAGAGAAATACAGAATATTAATGAGGTTAGTTAGTTTTACTGTAATTACTTACAATTCTTGCTGTGTCATTAGTATTTATTAATCAAATAAGATTCTTAAAAGGTTCTTATCATTGTTTTCCTTGTTATTCTCTGACGTGATCAGCTCAAGTGATCCCTATGAGCAACAATCTCAGGCTTCAGAGTCCTCTGAATGTTCGGTTTCAGGCTATTTTTATTCCCTTGGCTCTGTATGACACCAGTGAGAAGAGATATCCTTAATACGTCCCTCTTAGGCACACAGCTCTGAGTGGGATCACAGAAACCCCCTACCTGCGATTAAATCCTTATTTTTAAGAGGAAGTTCAATCAAAAGAAAGTTGCGTCAAATGGAGGGAAAAGAAATTAAAACATTTTATTTTATTTGTTTATTCGGAACAGTGAAGCAGTAGAGACAAAGAACATGGAGCTGGAATTGACCATAATAAGTCGTTTTTAAACAGTAATGACTTTAACCTGGATTCACCCCATTAGTGTGCTTCACTTAAACATTTCAGGGTTCCAAATGGTGTTTTAGATTTTAAGGACACATCCCACACACGGCGGGACTGTGACTTGGCTAAAACATTTTTTGAAAACCGCTTCAATCTGTGGATTTAGCATCTGCAGGACAGGGTGTCTGTCCAAGTCTGTCAGCGAGTGAGTAGGTGGGATTCAAAGTAACACAGCATTTTAGACACATAAAAGAGAGGAGGCAGAATCAGAAAATTGTTTACTCAAGCTGAGACAGACAGAGAACTGACACTCTGGGCAGAGACTGACAGGATGGACAAGCCTCAGGGAGGCACTCAAACAACTTCACCATTTTTTTTAGCTCTCCCGTCGGGGTGTCAGTCTGCAGTGGTCGAGGCTGACTTCAGTTCTATCTTTCAATACAATGCAAAACAAAATAATGGAAAAACTATGGTTAGGTTTTAGTCATTAACTCCATCTGATCCATTATGTAAATTATTAAATTAACTAGATAAAATATAGACAGGCTGTCCCCCCAGTTACCACTGGGGGGACTTAATAATTTCTATGACAACTAATGAAAAATAAAGTTAAATATAACTACAGTACAGCACTATTTCGAACCCCCAACTGATATTACTGGTACTATCAGTCCCCACTATGTCAACCTGCCTTCGTCCCGGAGTTGAAACCCAGCCTGAGGTCCTTTCAGACAGGAAACTTAAAGTCAGCTTTGATGGCCCCTGACTTCATCCTTGGATGCCATTTGCACAGTTCAGCAACAAACCAGTCAGGAGAGGACTTAATCAGCAATCAGAAAATGTTTACAGTCCTTAATTCCCTTGTCTGTGTCCTAATACCTCTTAAATTCTTAATAAGGGAAAGCAATGCCATTAACTCTGATGAAGGGTTTAACGTCACATTTACAGTTTAATACACTGTGGATGGAAGGGGCAATAAGCACTTCCCCCTCACTTGAGACTATTACTGTCTTGACACAAATGAAAGGCTAAAAGGTAGCTTTTCATTAGCCGTCACCTATGTACGCTGTTGAAAGATTTCTCACAGTGCAGACAAGCTAAGTGAGATTGCACTGAAGTAGGTATAAAATAAAACGTCAAAAAACTCAGAAAAGGGAAATGGAACTGGAAAAGGTGGTTTTTATAGTGAAGAGTAGAGGGCTGCGAGTGAAAGGATGCTGGGTCTTAGAAAAGCCCATCAAAAAAAACTATAAAAAACACCAAAAGCACCTGTTCAGTGTTTTAGGACGTGTGATTGGTAAAAGACTCATCTTTGCTTGCATGACAATGAATCATTTTAGAAACTTCTTCACAGTAAAGTCCATATTTGAAGCATTGTTTGTCATTGCAACATCTAAAATACACTTTGCTCAGTGTCTTCACCAAATATGGATAAATGTAACAACTGCCACCTGACTGGTTGGTCTGACGGCTCATACAACTACGTAACATTAAGTCAAGGTTAGGATGAGTAACCTTTACTATCAAACGCAGGTTTCCTCCCAAATAATATCACTGCGGAAGCCTATTAATTATTAATTAGCCTATCAACATTACTCATGGGTGTAAATAATTAAAAGCTGCAGTGATTTTGGCTCTTTAACTTTGCATTTCCATTAAAATAATGTCATGTTTTTGCTGTATTTTTGAAATTACAGATAAAACAGAATGAAAATTATTTACTTTTTAAATGATTCTTATTACAGATAAAACAGAACAGCTGTGAGATGAAGGGGAAAAAAATCTTTTATGTAGAGACCGCTTTGCATCCCTTGAGTGCTGTTCGTGCAAGTATATCAAATTTAGCGGTGGCTACTTTGATTATAAATAGAACATAAAGAAGCCTAATAGTTTTAAAACAGTTCAAATAGAAATAAACTATAATATATCAAATAAGCAGATCTCTGACCTGTGTTGATCATGTTTTTAACAGCATTTCCAATCAAAGCAAACAAATCTTTTCAATAAGCATTACATTCTCTATTTTCCCCTTATCAGCATGAATAAAACTATGTGTAAAATCACCATTATTCATACTCATATTTATCAATAAAAGAGCCGGATGTGGTCCAGAGCCACAGGTTCGAGATCCCTGTTCTAAGTCAACACTGGAAGTTAAGAAGAAGTCACGCAGTATATCTGCAAGCGTGTTGTGAAAATATCTATAGTTATTTTCTTTGCCGTTTTTCTTGTGTTGCAGGGGGGCAGTCAGTGTGAGTCATGCGGAAAGCTGCAGACAGCTGCTGGGTTCCTCTAGTTGGTTCCTTTATGGCCTCAAAACATCCGCACACCTACTGGCAATCATGTGAAAACAAATCAGAGAGATGTGCAAATGTGTGTGTGTATTCTCTGCACAACACTATGGGAGTACGTCTCACACAGAGTTATGTTCAAACTCAGTTTTGTTTATTAAGAAAGTCTGTTTGTGTGAACACTGACAGCTGCTCAGATCAACTGAGATAATGGTTTTGTTTTGTTGTTCACTAAACCGAAATACACCACAGGTAACAAATCTCATTCAAAGTCCACTTAGATTTATAACCTGTGGCCTCGGAGAAGGCATTTGACTGCGTCCTTCAGGGTGTCCTGTGTGTGTGTGTGTGACCGGGGGGGGGGGCTTTGGGAGTGTTAGGCCCAGTGGTACAGGCTATTCAATTCCTATTCATAAGTGATGGCTGGACTTTACTAGGACTGCGCTTTGCCAATGATTATGTTTAGAATTTCTAGGCACACACAGCCAAGGAAGAATGTCAGGTTTGGTGGTTGCAGCATCTTCTCCTTGCTTTTTGCAGTCAGCCTCTGTTGGAAAAGGGTGACTGTTTTGGGTTGGGAAAGAGTTGTTGCCTCTAATGGAAAATTCAAATATCTTGGGATCTTCATGAGTAAGGGAAGTAGATTGGAGATTGACTGATGCAATGTGTGCAATAATGTGGATGCAGTATCTGTCTGCTGTGGCAAAGACAAAGCTGAGCGTAAATGATTTTTTACCGGTCGATCTATGTGCCGATTTCTCCCCTCACCTATGGCTACAAGCTTTGGGAGTGACCTCGGATGCATCTGACTAGGATGCATCCTTAACCTCCTGGCGTCCACATATGTGGATATCACATTTTGGGTTGTCTAGACCAGTGGTCCCCAACCCCCGGGCCACAGGCTGAGTCATTTGGTACCGGGCCGCGAGAGTTGAGGCTCGGGTGTGAAATGTATGGTTTTCAGGGTTTTTTTTATCGGTTTTAGCGTTATTTTGTTATCGTTTTTATCGTTAACTCTGTTTTCCTGGGTCTTTTCACGTGTGTTATGAATAAATCTTCTTTTTTTCGGTACCGGTACTAGTTTTATTTTGCTGTATTTATCCGCGACACCTTAAAGGCTGGTCCGTGAAAATATTGTCGGGCATAAACCGGTCCGTGGTGCAAAAAAGGTTGGGGACCGCTGGTCTAGACCAAAATACTAAATGTTGCTCTACAAGGGCCTGATATCCACTTACGAGGACATTATATTTCCACTGTTCTATCGAAATTTAAAACAAATGTCGTTAAATTCATCAGGTCCCAATCAGCCCAAATAGAATAGAATAGAGAAAATAAAAAGCATATCATGAAAGAGTTCGGGTCTTAGGAGGTTAATTTCTCCTAAGTGAGATGTTTCGAGCACGCCCAACTCTGAGAGGTCAAATGCACTGCAAATTAAGAAAACATCAGGGAATAGAAAAAAGCTGCAAAAGCACACAAAAGAGAATAACAGTGTAATAAGGAAGCAGAGGGTTCCTTAGTGTTGTGTAGCTGCAGATAATGTGCGTTTTAATCGAGTCTGTGCATCCCAAACATACAGATATTAAGAAGCAAATAACACAAAACTGCAAGTAGGATTTTTTTTCTCCATTTTGATTTAAATTAAAAGGAGACTATTTGAAAAAGTAGCTTTTAGCTTTAAGCTGGTAAGCAGTCTGGCTTGGTCAGACAGCATTTCCTTGGAGGGCCGCTTGCAGGCCTTGACCTTCTGCTGTGTTCCTACAGGCATGTCCCTGTGGAGAATATGTGGGGAGCTTGGGGGAAGTTTGTGCTTGGTCAGGAAGGGTTGGCGAGGAGAGCGATCTTCTTCTTACCTTCTATTTTCTCTCTGAATGGCTAGACTCATCATCAGACCAAACAAACGAAACAAATATTATTACACTGGAAATATGTGCACTATTTTCCAGCAAAATTCATAAATATCGGTTCCTTTGAATTATTTGAAAGGCTTGTAGGTCTCACACTAAGGTGGAAGCTGGTAAAGATTCTCTTGCAAATACAAAATAGAATTCAGAAATAGCAGGTTTGTGTGTATTACACAGTGGCTATATTACACCCCAGTGGACACATGAACTGCTGAAGGCACTGACATCAACCTATTATTTCCCAACGCGCTCACAGTGTCTGTATGTCATGCAAAATTAGATTTCCCCCCTCTGTAATAAGCCATAAAAAAACTGAATAATTTTATAATTCTTACATGTCTTGTTGTAGGTAAATTTCTTCTCATCCTTGCTAGAAGAGCTTAGAGGCAGATGACTGTGTGACATTCTTGTCACCGTAATCCAAATGTAAATGTTGAACTCAATCAGTTTTGCTTTTTTTCCATTTTTTCTTTATCCCTTACTTGGATAACGTTGATCCAGCAATCAAATATTACATCTGAATGTTGAAACAAGTTGAATCAATCCTAAAAAGAGCATCACTTTTAGTAAAAAAGGCCAGAGCTATATAGATATAGATATATATATCCTTCTACAGAGGTGGCAAGAGTACAGACTTTCTTTAGTTAAGTAGCTAAGTAGTAAGGTAAGTGTGTTAAAAATACTCAAGCAACTTCTTTACTCAAGTAAAAGTGGGAAAGTACAGGCTCTGAAATGGCCCCAAAGTAAGAAAGTAAAAAGTAGTCCTTGAAGGACAAAAAGGTAACTGAACGTTCCTCTATAAAAATGTACAAAATATTAGTACATGAGAAATACTATTCCAACCCAAATTCAAAAATAGAGTACAGTAAAATGAGTAGAGTCAAAGTACTAATACTGTACTGTCTTATGAGATGACTGCATCAGGTCTTTTTGCTTAAATAAAAGAAATCATCACCATCTGTACAACACGCCACCCTAACTGACCCCCCAAGCAGCTGATCAAGATGCCCGATTGGCTCGTGTGATGAGAAGACAATCAGATCACATGAGCTGGGGTAATTAGAAATGAGTCTCAGCATGGAGCTGAGAACTCCACTGATACGATCAGACAGTACATGGGGGTTACTTGAGTGAGTGAAAAAGAGGATGACAGGGAAGCAGGGAAAAGATGAAAAGATGCTGGTGATTGTAAGTGACTGATTAAGGTCAGAGGTGGGCTGTATGCCTGGGACTTGTGACAGTGAGCAGCAGAGGTGCTGCAACACCTTGCTCACAAGGGAAACAGCTCTCCTTTGATACACCAATATAGCAGCGGCCCGTTTTCTGTACGTGTCTCCACGATCAACTGGCTGATCCAACATCTGCTGATGCTATTTTCCAAAAACACACATAAAGACTTGAAAAGAACAACTCAATCCAACTCCTGAGAAGACCGCAGACTCCCACGGTCATATATGAATACTCAAACTTATAATACTCAACTCAATGATGGGAGGAAAGATGACAGGGGGGACAGTGAGACGAATGATTTGCACAAAATTAAAGTCACAGAGCAGAAAAAAGGACGGTTGGCAAACAGTGGTTGAGACATAAAACCTATGAAGTAATAGTGCTCTTACGGAAATAAATGTTGTTTTCAGAATGCCCTTTTCTACTACAGCAAAGCCAGCAGTTAAACCAAGAACAAAAATAAACTAAATCTAAGGTAAGAGAGGTAAGAGAGCCTTTGCATAGGCCTCAGAGTAAAGGACAATACAGAAAAAGACTGTTGAGTATGAGGATCAGTCAAAGACATGAAGTTTCAACCAAAAGCAATTAAATGTGACAAAGATGTTTTCTTTTGAAGTGCCACAACTTTGTAATTATCACTTTTGCACTTTTTCATTTATTCCTTAACATTTCAATCAGATACCAGCACATCATGTACCGGGGAACAGATTAACCAAAGAACTGTCTATCCATCAAAAAACACATATAATCAAGAGAAAAAGAAAGTACACGTTTCAATTCGGTGAGGAAATAATAGAACAATCTGGTCCTTACCAGCTATTGAATTGGTTCTACTAGCTGTTGAATCAGGAAGACTTTTCACACACTGGTTTTGCATTTAGTATTTGTAAGATAAATGATGACACTCTTCATAAGGCTACAAATATTAAATTCTCTATACCTGGTACAAATAAGCACAAATGGTTAGGTTAATTTGATATG